TCTGAAGAGGCAGCCTCCATTACTCATCCAGCAGGAAAACCTACAGACTTCCATTGGCTGTTTTTGAATAATAAAACATTATCTTAAGTATATTTGTGTGCTACTATATTTATTTTTGTGCAACACCAGTGCTGTCATCTGGACGTTATTTTTTCTTCCATGTGGTTAACTGGGTATCTGTTCATGATAACTTGTGTATACTGGAATATCAAAGAATGCACAGTTCACCGTGCAGTTCACCAGATATCTGTTTATGAAGTCTTACAGATTATTGAATATCAAAATTAGTTGGAAAACACATCTTTAGTTTTAACACCAGTGCTTTCATCTAAAATAAGGTGGGCCTACAGACTTCCACTAATTTTTCCCTTTTTTTGTGTTGTTGCTTTTTCCTTCCCTGCAGTTAACCAGATATCCGTTCATGAACTCTTCTGGATACTCGAATATCCAAATTTGTTGCAATGCACATCCTTAGTAATTTTGTAAAGTCTGGGTCGACTTTGTAGATTAGTTCTGTATTTTTCTGGTTTTCTTACAAGCTCAGCACATTTTTACCCTTAAAATGCTCAAAAACAAACAAAAAACTCATACACACATACACACATTCCTCCTTTTTTGATATTACCGTGTATGCCTGTGTAATGTGTGTTTGTGTGTGTGTATGCTTCTTTGAGTGTGTGTGTGTGTGTGTGTGTGTGTGTGAGAGAGACGCCTGGCCATTGGGCCGTCTGTGTGACAGACGCCGAAAGGAAATCCCTGAGCATGCCGATCTGTCACATAAAAGCAGCAGCGTGGCACAGATGAGAGGGGCGGCGTGAATGTGGGTGTATGTGTGTGTGTGGTAGGAGAAGACTGCTGAGTGATTGGAGAATTCCTATACACACACACACCCTCTTTTCCCTCAGGCTCATTCCCTTTATCCACCACTTACCCCCCTTATACCCCACTCCCCCTCCCACCCCTCAATATCTGCTCCATGTGCTCTGTGGCCAAACATTGCTGCTCGTCTCTGTCTTATTTAGTCCTCTGTGTTTGTTGGAGGACAGCAATATTATGCTTCATCTGGCCCATCCCCTCTTCTCATTTTATTACTATAAACATGAGGCTGAGGCTGACCAATGCAGAACAAAGACAGGGCTGTTGTAGGATGACACTCTTTTCGAGTGGAATATGCTTCTGATAAATTGTTCATGCTGTTTCATGCTGACCTTTTTATGTGCAAAAAGGCCCATATTCTACATTTTTCTTTGATATTATTATTATTTTTTTTTCATTTAATGTTTTTGTTGTTGTTACTTTAAAAGTTTTTTTGGGATTTTTGTACCAAAAAAAAATAATTTCTACCGTTTTCTAAAATTATTTCTTTGTCCATTGTTATTGTGCCTTTAACACTGTATATGACGTAGTCATATGCGAATGTATAAGCGCCCCAGGACAAAATATGTTTTGCATAGAACACACAGTTACTGTTAATTTGCTGAATGTAATTGGATTTCAGAAAAGTTATGGCACATTTTATATTTTATTTTTTCGTGTAAATAAAACGCTGTTGCAACTCAACAACAAAAAAATGGCATATTTAGGATTGTTCTCTGTAGAGGATGTTTTCACTTAGAAAATCAGAAAAACATGCAAGTTGAGCAAGGTGTTCAAACTTTTGCATGTGTATGTCAATGACCTCTGTTCTGATAGGCGCTTTAAAAAGCAGTGTGGGCAGAAATGTTTTAAGTTAGAACTAAAATCCTGAAATATGTCAGAAAACAGAAAACGTTGGCCACTCCTTTCAGATTGGTGGATCTTTTGGAAGGCTGTAGTGATACATTCACTTCCTAAACACCAGGAACAGTACAACATTTAATCTTTTTTCACACATATTCCACTGCAACAGCTTTGCTACAGGTTGTCTGCAGTAACAGCAGTCCTTACCACGTCAGTTACTGAAAGGGCAGTTACTTGTAAATATGTTCATGGTTGTGACATCACAACTATGATAAATTCACAAGTATAAGTTTCCATTCATGAGCTGTATGACTGAGGAGTGAAAGTCACATTTTGAAAGTTTCACATAGTTTAACATGTTTATGTAGTACTCAGATTCTTTTATTTGATGAAAGGAAAGAGTGGTTTTCTGTGATTGAAAACCATTCAAACTTGGTTAGAATGAGGGTTACTGTGTTGCCACTGCCTTAGGTCAGGCCCATCCTTTAAGTCTGCAAAAATAAATGGCCTGTTTGTAATTGCACTAAAGCCTTTATGTATTTAGAGGCTTTTCTTGCTCCTTAGCCCATTACGATGTGAAATCAATGGGATGTGAAATGGTGCATGCTACTGTGATCATCTACATGATCATCAGGCAAGAGGTTACATTTTATTTTGTGGATTGCTCTATTGCAGGTAACAGTCATGATGTTGCTGCTGCAGAAGCTCAATATTGTGGCCTTTTAAATGAAATCAAAAGCACTTAAATCTTTCATTTCTTCTCCATAGTAGTTCATGCTTTTCTCGCTTTTCACTGCTGTTTTCTTCAGTCTCTTAGCCCAGGTTTGAATTCTCTCTGTGCGTCTCGCTCTCATGTATGAAAAATGTATTTGCGTTTCCACGGCGCTTTTCAAGTGTGCAAGTTCAAATATTTGAAGATTCTGCACCAAATATTTGAGGCGAAGAGCTGAATGTGAAACATCAACCCAGGTTGTGTTTAGTTGAATGGAGAATGTGCTGTGTGTGTGCTGTGAAGTGTTAAGCTCCTCTCTGTATTCTGGTTGGAATAATTTATTTAATTTAATGTGTTCAAGTGAACCTGTCTTTTGTCTTGGAATATTTCAAAAAGTAGAAACAGTAAAATAAAATATTAAGTTGTTATGTTACTTTTAATTAAGACAAACTGATTTATTCAAAAATTAGATTTTTTTAGAGGGGGTTAGACAAACATTAACATACATGTGGAAAAACAGAATGAGTGCAGATGCTTCCACCCAGGTGTATCACATAATACAATTAAGCAGTTAATATCCCACTACGGTCTGTGGCATGTAAAAAAAATGTTGAGCAGGCCCAGATGACCTTGATTTTGGATCAACATTAAAAGATCTATGTGGCCTTTAAAGAAGGTTTATTATGGGGACACGGATGACAGGAGCTTCAGTCACAAAGACTGCTCAACTGGATAGTGTTTCAATAGCAGCAGTGATCTATGGGAAGGACATAAGGAAATAGGGTTAGAAATTGTTGTCAAAAGCGCAACTGTTCCTCAGGTTACTGAGAATGTCAATAGAGGATGATGAGCAGACTGTCAGCAAGAACAGTCCATCAACAGCTACATATAGAGAGATACAGTAGGGTTGCAGTGCATAAACCCTTCATTACAAAGACGAATGCACAACTGAGAGTTCGGAGGTGTAAAAAACCATCAGCTCTGGTTTACAGAGATGTGGGAAAAAGAGATGGCTTACTCTAACATCATGGTACAGGCCTAAATGCTTGACCCTTAAAATTGGGGGAGGGGGGTCTGGTGGCTCAGTTATGCTGTGTCTCACCATGTCTCACCCCAGTTAAGCTTAGATAGATATTGGACTGACGTTTTAGGCAGTGCTCTCCACCACCATCATCAAAACACCAACTGAGAGAATATATTTTGGTAGAATGGTGTTGCACCCCGCCAATACAGTTCCAAAGACTTTTAGGATCAGGGTGTATTGAAACTGTTCTGGTGGCCCAAAATCTTACTAAGACATTTTATCTATTTTTTTCCTTCAACGTTTTCAAGCACTATAATGCAAAATAAAAGCAGTGTACATCATGCTAACAAGCTTCTTTGCCCAAACAGCTAAGTTGTGGATGATTTCATCACATTTCAAATGAAAATCGCCTCCCGCTGTGTAGTCTGTTGGATCTGAAATAGTCCACTTTGTTTTCAAGGCAGCAGACATAAATCAATGGCTCGTCTTTTGGAGTTAGCCTTAGTCCAACACGAACACCAGAGCTCTTCTGTTTACCCTTGTACCTTGTAAAAGGAACTGCCTGATTCAATCAACTGTATTAGACAGCATTGTTGGGGCCTTGTGCACTCGTGGACCGGCTGGTACTGATAGTGTAAATGGCTGTAATATTTTCCAATTTTCGTCAGTGTCTGATGGTCGGACTGTGTGGAACGCACGTATGAGACAAATGACTTGAGAAATTGGACCAAGCTAAGGTTGGCTGTGTGGGGTGCACATTTGAGACAAATGACTTGAGAAATTGGACAAAGCTATAGTTGGCTTCAGATTCAAATTTCCCATTCTACTTTAGATGGTGCAGCAGTTAAATTCAGCTGCCTGTACATGTGCCAGAATGTAACTGCTGTTGCATTTAAGGTTGAGTGGAAAATTTTAACAAAAAACTGCCGAATAAGAAGCCAGCATTAGCTTTCTAGAAATTAAGACATGAAACAACATCTAGCACCATTGTTGCCAGAAACAGTAAAAAAAAAAACAGATTTACTTTGATTAATTGATAAAAATGGTTCTCAATTAAAAGTGAATAATAAAAGCCCAGAATAATGAGCCACTGTTAACCAATTAAAATTGGTTTACTTAAGCATCTAAATGTTTTTTATTGGGATTTTTTTATATATTCCAAAACTATCAGAAATTTTAAATATACCACCAACTATTAGAAAGGTATTTATTTGGGGAAAATCAATGCTGACCCTGTTTCAATGGGTCACTGGTAGTTTATCAGTGAGTGGAAAATAACATGAACAGTTCAGGCACAAATGGGTTTATTTGTACATAGTTGTTCCTTTTATTTCTCGCTGTTTACTCTCAGCATATTATATACTGAATTATATTTAGTCCTGAGAAAATGCAAATTGTATGAAATCACAGCATCCTCGAAAGAGACTCTAGTCCCTTTGGAACATAAAGAGATAGGGACTGTACAAATGAATGTTTTACATTTGATGTGTTGTTGAGCTGTAATGTTTGATCTGATGTTTTCTCTTTCTTCTTCTTTCTCTCTAGTTTGTATCTACGTAAATAAGCACGTGAACACGGGTCCTAACTTGGACAGGCAGAAGGTTCTGCAGCTGCCTGATCACTTAGGTCCAGCCAGGCCCTCTGTGGTGCTGCAGCAGGCAGTACAGGGCTGTATTGACAGTGCTTACCAGCAAAAAGCGGTTTTCACTCTGCTCACACAAGGCTATGGAGGAGAAAAGATATCAGGTAACACGCAAAAAAGCATCCAAACAGGATATTAATAATCAAATACATCAATCAAAAAGCTATTAATTTAGACCTTCCATAAGTTTCTTTAAAGCAACTATTGAAAGAATAATTTCCCCGTAGTCAATCTGCCAAGACATGAAGTTTGCTTTTTTGTTTTGCGCTGGAGCTATAAGGCTAATGTAGCTAACAGGTAGTGGAATCTTACAACACTGTTTCCAAAAAAGTTGGGCAAAATGTAAATAAAAACAAACAAACAAACAAAAATTGTACTATTTTCAAGTAAATATAAGGTTCACATGATTTGCATATCATTGCATTTTGTTTTTATTTACATTTTATTTATGTGTCTCAACTTTTTTGGAATAGCCTCTTTGTTGTATATCTCACAAGTTAACATTATGCAAACTGTATGTGTTAATCATTTTATGTTTACTTTAAACTACATTGTGTTGTTAAGTAATCTCAAATAGGCTTTCTTATGTGTTTTTTGACACTGTATGACACTATTATCTGTAAAAATTGACAAATGTATGTTGCCTAGCTAAAAGCAGTTGTAGCAGTTGTCTTAAAGCTTAAAAAATTGTCTGCACTTTTGTCTATTTTTATCAAAGAGAGATTATTGAGATTATTTAACAACTCAGTATAAGTGTGTAATGATTTAGGCATATAGTTTGCAAGATGCTAATTATAGTGCACTATAAGCTTCATTTAATTATTACTTTGGATGCACGATCAGAACCAACCTCGACTGGAATTACAAGTTAAGCAATAATCAGTCAATTTGTTTTGATTTTTGTAGATCTGTGTTGCAATTTTATGATGTAAATAACTTGAGCCAAGTAAGTGTACTTGCAATTATCTTTGAATGCTGTTGCTATACCTACAGTCTTATGCAAAAATTTGAGTGCGCTTGGCAAATGATAATGTTTAATTAATTTTCTAAGTGAAAATAATTTAACACATTCTCTGTGGAGAACAAACTTCTGCACATGTTATATGTTAAAATCAGCAAATAAACAGAAATTGTGAATTATATTAGCAGAAAAATGCTACAGTTTTTCTTGTTGAGGATGTGTTAACCTACCTTCACTTAGAAAATCAACAAAACATGTAATTTGACCAGGGGTGTTCAAACTTTTTCATATGATCAAAATGTTATAGCATAATAATGAATAAGTCTAACTTGCTTTCCTCTTACTTTCCATGTAGCACAAAATGACTTACCTAGTCAACCCGTTATGTTATTTCGTATTATTCGATTTGTGAGTTTGGCTAATAGAAAGTACTGGAAATGTGCTTGTGTATTATGTGATCATTTAGCCCAGACAATGTGAGCACCAAATATAGTATGGCTTATTGATTTGGGGTTAAGGAGAAAATTGTGGAATATCCTTCTGCAACTACTCATGTGCTCTCTCATCATCTCTCAGCTACGTTTGACGGTAAGCAGCACCTGCTGAGTCTGCCGGTGGTGAACAGCGTGGGCTATGTCCTGCGCTTCCTCAAGAAGCTATGCCGGAGCCTGCTGTGTGAAAACCTCTTCAGTGACCAGCCCATCGCACCTTCCTCCTCTCCCTCCTCCTCTTCCTCCTTCCACACCGACAAGCACTCGGACGGTCAGGCCAAGTCGAGTACGTGTTCTTTCCACTTTCCTTTTTCCTCCTGAACATACTAAGCTCTTTGTTCAGACAAACCAATTTAGCCTGCATGTTGTTTACTGCTTTTTCAACCAGCCCGTCTCTCAGAACTATTTTCTCTGGTAGAGAGCGCTCTATTTTTTCTTCTGACTGCTTAGCAAGGCTTTTATTTCTGAGTCTCTTATCTGATCTCCCCCGCTGAGAGCTTGGAGGAGGCCTTTAGTCCTAGCTGAGCTCTCTTAAGTGGCAGTCATAGGGCTAATCGCTCCTATAGTGTTCTGTGGTTTAAGTGCTGGGCGGCTGTGGCGTTTCTGTCTCTGTGGCTGTGGAAGCAGCAGGAGGAACTGAGGAGATCAGGTCATGAAGCTTATGATAATGCAGCTGCTTCAGTGGTTTCTGTGGAGATGTTCCCATGACGATTTGGCCCCATGCTGATGGTTAATGGAACTAAGAGTGGGATAGGTGTCTAAGGAGTGGCACAGGTGTTTTTTTGAGCAAGCTTGGGCACATGCCTGTGAGCCTTTCCTTTTTAACCCTTTAAATTGTAGGACTGTTATTCAGTTGTTCTTCAGTAACTAGTGTCAATAGTTCGTAAAATACTATCAAACTTCAGTCAGTTATGAAGAATTGAAGTGTGGGTCACATACATGCCCTTGCAGTTAAGAGGTAAATGAAATACATGTTCATTTTCAAATGCTCATGTCGGGTTGTTTGGGAAAAAAAACTTTTGCCATCCTCTTCTTGTGCAGCAGACTCTATGGTGGATGATTACCACACTGAAGAAATGCAGTCAAAGCGCTACTCTAGTGACCCCAGTGATAGCACTTTCGGTGCTCTGTCATCACCGTACACGGCACCTAAATCCAGCTATGGGTTTCGCTCTGGTCCCACCTACTCTGGGGGCGTGTGCAGACAGGCAGCCAGTCCCAGCACGTTCCAGGAAGGAAACAGAAGTGGTAAGCAGCATGTTTCTAGAGATAGTCTGAGGTAATATCCAGGTGATCAATCATCTTTCATGTGTTACAGTATATAGAGTATGTTAGGGTTGGGCAACATAGACAAAAATAGTATCATTCAGTACCATAGTATATGCATTTCCTAATGCTCAGTTTTAAGTCTGAATAGTACACTACATGGCCAATATTATGTGGATGACCAGACATCACACATCATGACCATATGTACTTGTTGAACATCTCATTCCAAAACCATGTGCATTAATATGGAGCTGGTTCCCTCTTTGCTGCTGTAACAGCCTTCACTCTTCTGGTAAGGTTTCCATTAGATTTTGGAACATTGCTTCCATTCAGCCAAATGTTGGGCAGTAAGACCTGGCTTGGAGTTTGAATTTATCCCAGAGGTGATTGACAGGGTTGAGGTCTGGGCTCTGTGTTGGCCAGTGAAGTTCTTCCACATAAAACTCAGCAAACCATTTCTTTCTGGACCTTGCATTGTGCACAGTGGCATTGCTATGCTGAACCATGAAAGGCTTTTTCTGTTGCCACAAACTTGGAAGCGTAAACATTTCTTAAAATATACGGTATGCTGTAGCATTAAGATTTCACTCTAATTTCACTGGAACTAACAGGTTGAGCCCAAACCATGAGAAACAGTCCTAGACCATTATTCCTCCTCCACCAAACTTTACAGTTAGCACTATGCATTGGGTATGTGGTGATCTCCTCACTTCCACCAAACTCAGATTCATCTGTCTGACTTCCAGATGCTGAAGCCTGACTCATCACTCCAGAGTGCTTTACACTGCTCTAGCCAATGCACATGGTGATCTTAGACCTGTGTGCAGCTGTTCATTGAAATTAAATGCATAAAGCTCCCAACCAACAGCTCTAGCTGGCTATCGAGGCAGTTAGGAACTCTGTAATGATAGTGAGCTTGTATGGCCAATCGCTTTGCTGCTAAACTGTTGTTGCTTCTAGACATTTCCACTTTACACTAACAGCACTTTAAGTTGACCAGGGCAGCTCTAACATCCTATGATAATGCTATGTTTAAAGTCACTAAGCCCTTTAGCTTGATCCATTTTACTTCCAGTGTTTGTCTAAGGAGATTGCTTTGCTGCATTTTTTTATTTTATGTGCCTGTGAGTAATGGAAGTGACTAAAATATAGAAACCATTCACTAAAAGGGGTGTACGCAAACCTTTGGCAATATACTATTGTATGAAGTATTTATAAAAGCTATAAATGTAAGTATACATTCAACCTGCAACATGCAGTACCTATACTAAAAATAGCAGAAGCAGTTGTCTTTGCTGCAAGTATGAGATTGAGGAACAGAACAGAATGGCACTCTCCCTCCCTCTTTTTTTAGTATTGCATTACCAATACTAAAAAAACATTTTGATTTAGATCATTGTTGTTGTTGTTTTATTGCCCAAGCTTAGAACTGTTGCTTTGGATTAAATAAGTACTAGATAAATGGAGCTAATCTCTCTTTTAATATCTCTCTCTCTCTCGCTCTCTCCCCCTCCCACCCCCCTCTCTCTCTACCTTCCTCCATCTCTCCCTCCCACTCTCCCTCCCTCTCTCTACCTTCCTCCATCTCTCCCTCCCACTCTCCCTCCCTCTATCCCCTAGCCTATAGTCCGTCACCGGAGGCAGGTGAGTTGAAGCCTCCCTCCAGTAAAGACCCGTCCCGCTGGAGCGTAGAGGAGGTGGTGTGGTTCATTAAAGATGCAGACCCTCAGGCCCTAGGACCCCATGTAGAGCTCTTCCGAAAACATGTGAGTTCTGAAAATAGTTTCAGCACATACAGTCTTACAGTATCCAGACGGATTGTCATTGCCTGCAGTGCGCCTGCTATCAGAACAGAATAGCATCGTAATATCAAACACTGAAGAGTCATTCCACTAGATCAGTGCCTAGTGGACATGTCAAGAAATCATTTTTTTTTTCCTCAGTAGTTTCAATTACAAAGGACACAGATAAATTATTCTATTTGTGATGCATTTATATGTACTGTTATCGTGGAAACAGATATATGTCTGAGCATGGTAAGGTTAATATAACATTTATTTAGTAGTGTAAATTGCCTGCATTCCTAAAAATTATGTTAAAAAACATATCCACTTGCATAAAAAACATACATAATGTTAAGTACAAACAAAATTGGTATATTTAAGCTTGAAGAACACTAGCAGATTTGTGTCTCTGTCATCAAATAGTGTAGACTCTCACTCTTTTCTTGAAATGATCCAGAACAGATTCAAGATCCAAAATAACAAGCATATCAGAATTTATATTATTTAAAATGATGCTCTGGGAATAGGAACATATACAGTTTATACAATATGTTTTTTTAAACATGGTATCATTTCCCTTAAAGGCTTCACAATATTATGTTCTTGTGATATGTTGTGAACGTTGACAATTTTTGAACGTTTGTACAGTATAATACATTTTATTTTAGAATATTGCTAAAAGTAATCGTTTAACTTTTTAGTTTTTATTGTTTCACACAGTTTGAAAGTACCACCTGCCTTTACATTGATCAGTAGAAATGGTCCCAAATTACTGGGAATCAAATGTTGTTACCTGAATGTACATTAAAGTTCTAAATGCTTTTTTCTTCTCTTGTTAATATTTCAGTTGTGTTTAGTCGCAACAGTGACAATGTTGTTAGCATCACAGATGTATATTTGTGAAAGCATTGTTCTAAAAGGAGTTTTTGATGGGTTGTGATTGGTCCTCCAGGAGATTGATGGAGATGCTCTCCTCTTGCTGAAGAGTGACATGATCATGAAGTATCTGGGACTTAAACTGGGCCCGGCTCTCAAGCTCTGCTACCACATCGACAAGTTAAAACAGAACAAGTTCTGATCTGCCCCTGGTACGCCATAAGGCCACGCGCAACCACTTACAAGCACGCATGCATATATCCCCCATCCCACCCTACTGTACTCCACCCTTCCCCTTATATACACATACATACAGACACAAAATCACTTGCTCTCACATGCACTGAGACAGACTAGTTTACGGCATCATCCACTCTATTTTCATTTACAGTGCTTTGTGTTTTTCATATTGCGGATTTTTTTAAAACCCTCTCCTTCCTGGTGTGTCACTGCCCATGGACTTTCAACAGACTCCTGCGGTCATTTTGCTTACCTTTGGATGTGTCACTGACCTGGTCATTACATTGAGCTTGTTTGAAATGGATAAACTGAGTGATGACCAAGTCACGAAGAGCGCACCCATCCTGGAATTACAAATACAGTCACCCAGATAAGGAAAAAGGTGCGACTTAGTGACACCTAAGACGGATGTTGGGACAGTTTACGGTGACGAGTTGTTGTAGACTGCACCCATGCAAGTGTGGTGTACATCTCTATGGTGTATGCTCAGTTGTGGATTGTCTAAAGGTGGTGGCCACCTAGTGATGAAACTGAGGCACTGCAGTTCTCTGCAGACCTGAGACACTGGACTTCATTTTTTTCTGCAGAGTTTTTTTTCAGAGAGCAGCTACACGAGACATGATCACATCCAGAATGCGGTGTTTGAGTACAATCATAACTGTTCAGAATTCAGAAATAACTCATACAGGGTTACGCTGTTTTCGTCTCAACCAGCAAAATACAAGAATCAGTACTTGAGGATACAACCGTGGACCAATCCTTCAGAACAAGTTTGGATAGAAGATCAGAGTTAGCACCACCAAATCACACTACAATACAGTTTCTACAATATTCATGTTTAATGCAAACCAGCACCCAGAAAATGCATGGATACCAATGCAGCCGACAATGCAAACACTGGCACAATCCAACTTTTAACCCAATGGACCAAACACAGGTAGAACCACAGTGAGTTTCTTTACCAAATCCCACTCACACCTGCTTCTAATACAGGTATCACTTCAGTCAGGTGCACATAACGCAGATATAGTAGCAACACCATCTCTACCTGCCTATGCGTGCACTTTCAATATTAATCCATGGGGTATTCGAAAGAGGTTTTTGTTCACAAAAATATCCTTCACAAAGCATTATGGCAAAACTTAAGATGTTTTACTAATATCTGAATGCTTCTATTCAATATTATACCAGAGTACATTATTAATGTATTGTTTTTGAGATGTGCGTGGTGGCTACATCCAGGTAAGATTTATGATTCCCAAAATCTGCAGTACCTTATACATATAAACATTGTACAGACTATTTCTGGTCTTACTGAAGGCCATTTATATGTCAATTAAATGAATTAATTATTTTGGCACACAGGAGATGTACATAATAAAGGAAACTCCACATTAAATACTCAAACTCATTTGCCATTTTATCAGAAACACGTAACCATACAGGTGCACGTTTACAATTACTGTAACACAGTAGCCCATCTGTTGACTTACCACCCCCCTCTACCTCGTCCTTCAAAGTAAACGGACCACCACAGGACCATCACTGACTGCTGTGTTGAGAATGGTCCATCACGCAAATAGCATCTGGTCTGTGGTGTGCCTATGGTGGTCCTTTTCCATTGAAGGACAATGTGGAAGGAAACACCACATGAAATATTCTTACTCATTGGCCGATATATCAGAAACACCATATAGGTGTGCTCTGCAGGTTTAAGTTTGCCAACTGTTACGCAAGCCAGACTTCACTCATTGGTGGATGAATAGAGGGGGGGCTGATAAACTGTACATCAACTGATGGATGACAGTCAGTAATTTTAAACCTATAAAGTGCACTTTTGTGGTGTTTATGATGAGATGGCCAGTGAGTATGAGCAGTTCATGTGGCGTTTCTGTTATTTTGGACACCCACTGTATTTTCAAACAGTACATTTGTGTGAAGGGTGACAATTTGTGCGTGAACAGAATCAACAGAAGGCAACTATAAGCTGCCTGAGCTTCAGACATTTTCTTTTGTTTTTTTAGCATTTTTCAGTATGGAGCAGGTTTACAACCTAATGGTGGCTCAAACCTAATGTAAAGCATCTCAGTCTGCATTCTTTTGTAAATACAATCATTTAAATGATGACAAGCCACAGGTGACTATTTGCTAAATCACAGTGCATTTGTCAAATCAGCAGTGTCACAGAACAAAAAGGTGCAAGAGGAAAAGGAATAAATCATGTACAACAAGCTTTTTGCCTAAAACATGTAATCAGCTCTCTGCTAAGCTTCACTGTAGTACGTTGCGCTGCGGCTAAAACTAAAGCTGCGCTGTCTCACTTGTACAGAATCATCTGCAGCTTTGCATAGGAGAGGCTCTCTCTGTCTGTGCTGTTTCTTTCAGTGAGACATGCCTCATGCAGGCAAAAGAAAATGCCTAAGTACTGTACATCATATTGTAATTAAAGACGCTGTTTAAATAAGCCCTTCACTGTCAGCTGCCACTTCACTGGGATTAGTATGCCAAACTGCCTATGGTTGTTCAGATTTGTAGTTCAGTTCTTTGGGAAAGGCCTTCAGCTTTTTACATGTAATACCTTCTGTAGAGGTCAGTAGGTGAGCGTAATGTGCCTGGCACTAGAAAGATTTAGAAAAGGCAAAAAAGATGTATTGAATGCCTAAGTGTATAACTCAAAGCATAGAGGTGCTGTTTTAATAACTTATTAATTGTAATATCCACCCTTATTTTTATTTCCACACTTTGCATAGCCCTTGCATAGTAAGTAGCATTGCACCTGTTTTAGACCTGTAAGTGCATTCTGCCTTGCCTGAGTCTGGTGTAACGAAAATAGTTGACATATTAAGCTTAAACCCGCATGCTGTGTACATACGACCACACTTGCATAAAAACGCTGATGCTCGCCTGTGCAGTGGTGCGGCCAAACATGCTGGCTGGAGAGGAACATGTTATCCTGTGGAAGGAACTTAATCACTTGGTTAACTTCTTTAGGTGCTCCTTACATTCTGAATGCCGACCACTAAGAAAAAGGCTGTACAATAAATTCAGTAGTACAAAGGAAACAGGAATACATTTCTGAACCTGTAGTCTTGTACACAAGGTAAATTATTTCTGCTCAGTGGTTGATGTGGGTGTTGGCTTGTTGAGGTAACACTGAGAACCGAGGAATATCTTTTTCAACTTCAGCTATAATGGTTAGCCTAGCCTAGCCACACTCCTTCAGACTCATGTTTCTATAGTACTGTGGAATTATGGTTTGCACACTGTCAACTTTTAACTTTATAATTCTACATGTGAGAAGTTGACGGTCCAGGAATCTCATGACTGCTTTTGACAGCATCAACTAGAGGTGGGCAATATGGCCAAAGTATAATAATGATAATCAAAGACATTTTCAATGTATGCAGCAGTAAATTTAATTATACAGGACTTACTATGCTTTCTTTGTAATAAAACCTGCAGTTGGTCTGTGTCTATTAAGTACTGACAATATCCACAATATGCTCAGAAAAGCATATTGTGAAGTCATTTATCACGATGATAGAATATCGTCATATTGCCCACCCCTAGTGTCAACTACTTTCGTTACACTGGCACCATTTTTTTTTTCTTGATAGCCTTCACTTGAACACCATAGGGCTGTCCTAACAGGTTCATAACCAGTCCTGCAGTCCTGCTGTTGATTATGTATGGCACTGCAGAGGGTGGAATGTTTTGTTGTAAACAAATCTGAAGGTTTGAATCTGGTTAGCACTGTTTGCTATGTCAGACGTATTAGCGGGGTGTTAAAGGAGCTAAAAACAATATCTACTTTATACAGTTTTCCCCAAATGTAGTCAGTTGTCCAAGAATTAATATCTGTAAACTAGGGTTGGGACCACTGATTGATTAACTGATTGTTGATTATTGATATGGGACGATTAATGGAATTTATCTTTTTTTTTCCCATTTTGTATTCTTGAGCACTGTATGCACAGATCCCTTTTCTGAAACTCCAGTTCTGGTTTTACTTTTATTTACACGCACAGCTGTGGGATGTCCTGCACATCACGGTGTTACTATGTGTCATGCTGGCATGGTGCCATATTTACGGTAATGCAAAAATTTGTCTGCCCCTGGTCAAACATTTTTTGTTGATTTTCTAAATAAAAGTTACACATCCTGTTCTGCACTTCTTAATATACAGTTACTTTTTATTAGCTGATTTTAACATACTGGGGAAAAAAAACATAAAATATGGCCTTTGTACATTTGATGCTGTAGGTTTTATTTTTTCTAATATGTTAAACTCAGCAAATAAATAGAAATGGTGCTCTAAAATGTTTAGGAAAATGCCATACCAGGTGGTATTCAAACATTTGCATACAACTATACGTAAAACAGCATAAGAAGCAGTATTTTTGTGGTAGTTTTACTTTAATATGTAGTCGTCGTGAAACTTTTTAATACTACGTTGGTGTTTTTGCCTTTAATGCACAAAAAACGTCCAATGTCCAAGTCCAGTGTGCGTAGTTGACATTGAGAATGTGAAGACAAAGGGAACAAAGAAATGCATTCATTGAGTAGTTATGGTGACTTAAAGATGTGGGCACTGGGTAACAGTCCATTCTGCTAAACAAGTCACAAACAGCACGGTTAGATCCACCAACAGTGTTAATGTTTACGCTTTCAAAACTTATAAAATTCTGTGGAAAAAAGGCCTTAAGGCTTTGTCAACTCACTGGCACAAATACAGCCATCCTGGATGTGCTGAATAAGTACCTGCAAAAAGCCTGTGACTTAAAATTATAAAAACACTATGTATTAATAATTTTGTCCCAATTTTTATTGATTTTTCATATTGCTTGTTATCCCAATCCTCCTATAAATATGGACAAAAGTAGAGGCAAACTTCAGGCTTTTTACAGTGACATACCTTTTTTTTATAGATAGCAAAGAGAAAACACATTCTTGCCCCGTAGCTCCTGTGTAAGATTAAAAAAACAAGGTTTGGACACAGAACGTCTTGGACGATCGACTACATTTGGGCTAAATTGTGTAAATGTGAGTTTTACCAAACTGTTCCTTTAAAGGATTCTTACTTCGTTACTGCAGCCCTGGAGAATGTTTCTCTCCTCTTTTGTGTCCGTTTTGTACTTTGGCCTCCGTGCCACGTCACTTTGGTGTCATTTTTGATATAATGCATAATGCAAGTGTATGTTTATGAATGCTGCTCTTGCTGACAGTCTCACCCAGTGCTGTTCTTCAGAATACAAGACAACCGTTCATATATTAAAGGAGGTTTTATGAAGAGGCTTTCGTGTCAATACAAGACTTGGGGGACTGTAACACGGACCATTCATGTTGGTGCTAAAATATGACTGTATTTAATGATTACTAATTTTATTCATTTGATTTTCATTTTCTTATGTTCAGTTCATTGATTTCAACGGTGTGGCTTCAGTGTTGTGAAATATTGTGAACACAGACAGGCTGTGGTCTGTCCGTTTGTGAGATATACAGTATACAAAACATTACAAAAGCATCTGAATAAAGCATTAATGAGCACTCAGTACTGCAAGCTCTTTTCTTTCCTGTTTCTTATTGCCCTTTATGCACAGAACACAGTTCACCGATTAGTAGTCTAGTAGCACATCAGGCAACATGTATTTAGTATAACTGTCTGCCATGTTAACCTTATCCTGTGCGTTTAGTTTAGGATATTTGCATGCTACATTAGTATTGTTAATATTCCACCAGTAATGAAAACTTTATTTTAAAATTACATTAATTAAACAGAATCAGAATCACTTTATTTTCAGCAAGTATGTTGCACATATGGGAACTTTGTCTTGCGCATATGTATGACATATAAAATACTACGTAGACTATTTACAAATATTTAAAGAAGATACTAACTAAGGAAAGGTAAAAATAAAACATTAAAAGATCCAGTGTGAAAGGAGCCAATGTGAATATATACATATGTGCAGGTCCGAGTAAACAAAGTCAGCTATTACTTTCAGTATCTTCAAGGGGAAATCCACCAATATTTCAACATTTCTGCATAAGTCTATTGCTGAGATGTAAACAAAGTCAAACAGATTGGTTTGATGTGAAATAGTGCATTGTACAGAAACTTACAGACTCAGATTTCTTTACAGTGGTGGTTATAGGAACCAGGGGTTGCAATGTCTACAACACAAATATAGCCTTTTTTTCTCTATTTCTTTGGGTACTATTTTGCCTTAAAATGCCCTCGATAAACCTCTCTGTCATGAATGGATTTTAAAAAACACAATTTAGGCCACAACATTTCACACACCACTTAGAATGACTCTGTTTACATCTTAATGATTAAGCAGAAATTTTGAAAAAATGGTGGAATTCCCATTTAAGAGTGGTGTGAACATCTGTACGGTTGTTATGCATTGTGGTACATAAAAAGTTTCAGGTGTCCACTGCTCTACAGCTACAGCGCTGGGGAAAAAGCTGGCTTGTCTAGTTGTGCTGGCTTTGATGGCCCTAAATGTTTTACCAGAGGGAAGTGCTTGGAAGAGGTGATGTCCAGGGTGAGAGGGGTTGGCTATAAATTTGCCAGCACACTTTATGACCCTACTGCTGTATGTCTTAAAGCGTTGGCAGACTACATCCAATGATCATCACTGCTGACCTGGAATTTGGCTCTTTCTTGTGAGGTGGAGGATCCAAACCAGAAGAGAAAATGGACTCCGTGATCGCTGTATAGAACTGGATCATGAGGGCCTGCAGCTGTTTGAAAGACTCCACAGTGGCTCTGAGGCTGACCACAGCAGTGTCATTTGCAAACTTCAGGATGTTCACAGATGGTTCCTTAGAACCATCATTGGTGCAGAGACTGAAAAGCAGGGGTGAGAGCACACAACTTTGTGGTACACAAAGACCCAGGGTCTGGGTATCTGACGCGTTTTCTGAGCTGCACCTGCTTCTGTGTGTCAGGAAATCCTTGTCCCATCAGTAACTAGGACAGTTTGACCTACAGGAGCTGGCACAAACAGAACATCATCAACAGAGCTGTTTGCTCTGTACACAAACTGCATGTGATCCAGCAAAGGGTTTCTAAAGGTAGGCTAGGACTTTCATGACTACTGAGGTCAGGGGACCAGCCTGTAGACATTTAGGGCCAGATTTACTAAAAGAGGTGCAAATAAAGGACCACCAACACTTTGTGCCTGTGGCTAATTTAGGGGCTTATTTTCAGGTGCAACTTCATAATTATCTCACATTCTTTTTGTATGGAAGTCCGTTTCTGCCAGATAGGAGGAAACATGCTGCATCTGGTTAATCATGTCTCAAAAAAAGAATGTATGCAGAGAAGAAAAGAGAAGGAGAAGAGACAAGGAGAAAAAGTTTACAGATATAGGTATCCTTTGTTTGTTTTTTTGTGATTAATCCTCATGCTCGTGCACATAACAGCATCACGTTAGTACGCCAAAGCTGTTGGGGCCCCTGAAAAAAAATCCTGCTCAAGGCCCCCAAAAGGCTAGAGCCACTTCCTATTCCTTCTATTGTACCGGAAACAGAACAGCAAACTCCCACAAATGAAGGGGATGAATAGAGCTAAATGGCTAAAAGCAAAAAACTAAACGTCTCTAACCATTTGTCTGATACCTTCCTTTAATTTTTGAAAAGTAGAAATATGGGTTTCATAAAAAAATCTAAGAAAACGTACCAGTATCTTTACGTTTTTTTCTTTTCTTTTCAGCATACAGGTTTTGTGCAGTAGGACGCTGGCGTTACTGCTACTGAGTGCTGATGGGTTGGCGAGTCTGAGTGATGCGTTTTGCGCTTACTGACGTCATGAACGTTCGCGAGGCACTGTTAGAAAGTCCTAAACAAAAAGTCTTAAGTAATAAATAAATAAAAAAATAAGACATATAACTGGAGTTCAAAAGCATCCAATAAGGATAGTAGCAGTGTTAAAATGTTATGCTGTTCTGTTCTGAAAATTAGTTCTGTGTCTATATAAAACATTATTTTTCTAAAATACCAGTTTGTTTTTAAATTTATCACCTTAAGAATAATTTGACTTTTACAAAATGTTTTTAGTCGAATTTGAAAATAAACAAATGTGTTAGACAATCTCTTTTCTCTGTTTCTCAGCAACAACAGTAGCAGCCTCATTAGCGCCAAATTTAAGGCAAGTTATTCCAGGAATTAAACAGAGTCGTTGCGTCTTTTTACTAAGTCACAACAGCCACTTTTTTCAACGCCAAAGTGATTCATAAATCCGCTTTTTAGTTCTATAAAGTTTGTCTTCTAAGACATAATACCATTTTCGTGGAGATGCTGGGGATTGAACCCAGGACCTCATACATGCGAAGCATGCGCTCTACCACTGAGCTACATCCCCGTCACAGATAGAGGATAGAGTGACGCGTAACCTGACACGTGTTGTTTTTTGTACGGTTTTAGAGATTACCCAGTTTATTGGTGTACAGCTCGAGACTGTAGTCCATCTATTGCTGGACAGTCTGTAGTAGCCTTCCACTAGTCCTTCATCAGTGGTCAGTTACCTACCAACTGACGTGCCTCATACACTTCTACCCACTACCATGTCAGCGTCACTGGTGTGCTGAGAATGCTCCACCACCCAGATAATACCTGGTCAGCAGTGGTCCAGTGGTCAGATACTAACCGATGATAGTGTATTGGGTGACGCATGTGCATCAACAGATTCGTAGGTGACGCATTCGTTATGGCGCCATCTGCTGGAATGAAGGATGAGTTGCGAGTCAGGTTGCACTGGTGTTTTTGGTTTTAACAGAATTTTGTTCAGAATTATTGGCTGATCTACAAAAAAGTTGTACAGAGCTTCAAAATGTGTAAGAAAATGTTAATAAAGCATGACTTTTAACGGGCATGGCAGACATTTTCTGCTATTTTTACAGTTTTCACTTTGAGTGCTCAACATTCTTCTCCAACTCTTCATCTTCTCTGATTCATCTTTGTCTTTGTGCTATGCAATTTAAAATATCATTGCATCTTGCAAGTTTGCACCTTTTGCATTAATTTCGATGCTGCCATTATATGTTGCTATTGCTGCTCTTTGCCTATAGGTGGTGCTCTTATGTCACAAATGTTCTTGGCCTGAGACTTCTGGTCTTAAACATTCAGGTATAAACTGAAATGATGATCCTCATTTGCCAGACTTATTGTACAATATTAAACTATGCTATTCTGGATATGCCATGTAACTGAATACAATTAGCATGCAAAATGAGCCCAGGCTATTTGCTGCCCATACACTGTTAATCCCCTAAAATATGCAAGAAAAACAGTATATTTAGTCATAAAATGGGCATATGGTAGAATAATGGAATATTAACAATTGATTGCTGTCTTGAATGCCCTTAAAACATGTTTATATGGGATATATATTGGGAGCTGGCTATGAGACAGTGGGCTTAGTTCTCTTTTGCAAACTCCATAAATGACAGCTGACTATCACATGACTTCTAATTCATTGTTTTTGTTCATTTTTCTCGTTAATTTGGCCTGATAAATGTTGCATACATTTCTCTACCACCAGTAAGGTTGGTAAGGAATCTCATAATAAATTATAGATTTGTTTTCCAGTCTATGGTTAGTTTTGTAACATTAGAAGTCAATGCAAGGTCAGCTGGAACTTATTTCTGTAGATTCTGTATACATCACGAATGCCTCCTATAGGAAGTCTGCCATTGCACCTTTTTTGAACTACTGGTAACACAGCATTTTTAGCTTCTCAGCACACTTGACTGTAGTCTGCAACAATGAGAGCTTTGTCTAACAATGGGCATTATCCCTGGGGATCCCCTCCAACGGATGGTAGCAGTATAGCTGTTACTCAAACATGAATCCATCTGGAGGTCACACCTCTACAATATGGAGCAGTGCCTTAAATGGGTGTTCTCCTGGGTCCTGTCCACTTAATGTAATACAATGCAAGAAAACCCATTTATATCCAGGATTTTTGTTGATCAGCAAATCTCAAAGGCATTTGAGCCATTTCAAAAAGTACATGCTTAAAATCCTTTTGCATGAGCTATATATAAAAATTTGACAATACAGTATGACATTGTCATTGTCTGGGTTCTTCAGCAGATGTATAAATGTCTACAACACTGTGTTAATAACAATATACTTCATGCAATACTGTGATATCAGCACAACAAACACTTATAAGATCATTCAGCATAGTGACAGAGGACCTACAACTGACCCTTGAGGAACTCCTCCAGTTAAAGCTTATAAATAAAAGGACACTCTTTTATTCGCATGCATTGAGCTCCAACTGATACATAACACATATCCATTGTACGGGACCAAGTTAAGTTTATATATATATATATATATATAGCTATATAGTTCTTTTATATTGTATATATAATATATTGTATATAGTTATTTTCTAGTTGTAAAAACTTTTTCCTAGTTTCAGAATCAGCCCTAGCACTCCACCTTCATCTGATGCTCCCACTCTGAGCATCTCTACGGAACGCAACCCAGAGTAAAAAGGTGTTGTGTCCACTACTGATGAAACTCTTTTGGAGT